AGCGGCAGGGACGAGAGCTTCCGCATCTGGCAGTGCAGCTCCGCCGGCTTCCTGGGCGGCCTGCTGGGGTCCAGCGGCGGCTGCACCAAGCAGCAGGCGCTGCCGCGCGCCCCGCCGCCCGCGGCCGAGGACCCGCCGGGCGCCGGCGCCTGGCGCAGGGTCTCGCTCTCGTGGGCCCAGGGGTCCCAGGGCGGGGTCGCCCTGCGCCTCGTGCGGGAGTGCGGCGCCGTCGTGACTCTGAGCCCGGACTAGGCGCGGCAGACGTGGGCGCACCGAGGCCTCGAGGAAGCCAAGCGAAAAGAGAGAGGACACGGCAGAAGCATGAACGTTCGGAGGTCCGCGCGGACTTCTTGGATCGGAGCTGCGCCTCCCTGGAGGCGCCTCCGGCGCCGCCCTGGCATGCTCCGCGCGCCAGGGAGGGGGGTCCAGCGCCGTTCCAAGGAAGCTGCGCGGACCTCCAGAGATTTAGGTTTGCGCAGTTTTTCTAGGCGGCGGAGTGTTCGGCAGCAGCAGCAGCAGCAGCAGCAGCAGCAGCAGCAGCAGCAGCAGCAGCAGCAGCAGCAGCAGAGGCAGCAGCAATAGGTCGTGTGTTTTTCTCGGCCCGACGGTAGAATGACGTTAGGCTTTAGTAGCCGTCCGCTCCAGTGCCAGAATGAACGTGTGCGGCTCTCAGTGGTAGCTTGCGCCCCCCTTGTTTCGGAAGTGTCGCCACTTCGTGAAAACCACGGCCAGAGCTCTCGACCTCGTCTTCATGCCTTTCGGGTGGGTCGATGCATGAGGGTGCTAGAGGGACGGAGGAGGAGAAGGAGGAGGATGAGGAGGAGCATCAGCAGGAACAGGAGAAGGAGGAGGAGGACAAGGAGAAGGAAGGCGGAGCACGACGACGACAACGATGATGATGCTGCTGCTGCTGATGATGATGATGATGATGATGATGACGATGATGATGCTGATCATGATGATGAGCATGATGGTGGTGGCGGTGATGATGACGATGATGAGAATGAGGATGCTCATGCGGATGGTAACTAGGACAGTGGTGATGATGATGACGATGCTGATGATGATGATGATGATGATGATGACGATGATGATGATGATGATGATGATGATGATGGTGATTATGATGATGATGCGGATGCTGATTATGATTGTGATGACGATGATGCTGATGCTGATGCTGATTAGGATTGTGATGACGATGAAGATGAGTATTAATATTATGATGATGATGGTGGTGATGATGATGATGGTGATGGTGATGGTGGTGGTGGTGATGATGATGGCGATGATGATTCTTCTGATGATGCTGCTGCTGATGATGATAACTATGATGAGGATAAGGATGCTGATTATGATGATTATGATGACGATGATGCTGATGATGATGATGATGATTCTGATGATGTTGATGTTGATGATGATGATGCTGATGATGATAATGCTGATGCTGATGCTGATGCCGATGTGGTTGTTGTTGTTGATGGTGATGGTGATGGTGATGCTGATGATGAGGATGAGGATGAGGATGAGCATGAGGATGAGGATGAAGATGAGGATGAGGATGAGGATGAGGATGATGATGATGATGATGATGATGATGATGATGATGATGATGATGATGATGATGATGACGATGATGATGGTGGTGGTGGTGGTGATTGAATGTGCAGTGGGATATCGTCCTTCACCTCCCGGCGCCTCATGCTATTCTGGCTCAGGCGCTCGGCCGTTTCCGCACAACGGTTGGGCGCTGAAGCTGGCCGTTGGGCCGTGCGCCCTCGACGCCGCGCTGCGGCGTGTCAGTATGAAAGACCCTTTTTTGCATGCGATGCCGGAACCTATGTCGCCCCCGCGGGCGCGCAGAAAGACGGCGGGTAATACTGACGCAAGGGGTGGTATGGGGGGAGGCGAGCGCGAGCGGCACCGCAGCTCTGTTCGACCTCTCGTGGTGGGGGCCTGGCCGACACGCGGGCGAGTCGTCCCGTTTGCCGCCCGCAGGGCGCATCGATGGGAGTGGCACGAGGTTCATAAGAGGTATGTAGCCCCGAGGAGAAGCTGTCTCCTCTTGCCACGGACTCCGACGGCAAAATCTGGTTTCCGGGCGGCCACGTCATCGCCCACAACCCAATCGTGTTCTACTACCTCAAGGAAACGTGGAGGTGGATCTCCAGCTTCGTCCGAGCTAACGGCAGTGGCGACACCCCCGCCCTCCAGAAAATCGGCTCGAACCTCGCGCACGAGCATGTAGCCACGGCCATGGACCGCGAGGGCAAGCAAACGCTCGTCAACACAATCCCCGAACCTTCGAACCCTTGCCACTGCGTGTGCTACCGCTGCCACGGCCGTTAGTAGCACGCTCACCGGGACTATTGGATCAGGCCCGGTTCCATGATCTTGATGGCCGAGTGGTGAAACATGAAGAGTAAGCGAAGGAAGGGTTTTCCGTCTCAGCAGAGCGCGACCAATTACTTCTCCATGTACGCGGAGTTCGCGAAGTATGGAGACGGGTCGGTCGTTCAGGACGTCAACGTAGAGGAGGTCTCATTAGCCATCCTGGAAGATGGGCGTCTGGGAGCCGCGGACGACTTTACGATCTTTTCCGGCGGTGGCAATAACATCATGTACGTCTGCCGCACTGTAAGACAGCCCTTCAAGCCGAAACAACGTGCGCGTTGTGTGCGGCTTGCACGACAGGATGCATCGGGTGGCGCCACCGCGGGAGGTGGCCACTGGAGGTGTGGTCGCATGCGGGGAGAGAATGGCACTGACGCGTAGGAGTATCGGCCATCGTATTCCCGCCCCCAACCATCAGCCAGGGGACATGTCGGAGGCCAGCGACGGCAAGTTCGAGCTCACTCAATGGACCCAGGAGCACAAGCCGTCCGAGCAGGCGGAAATGGCATATTTTTCCTCGGCCATGGCGACGTCGAGCAGGAGGGCGCCCTGACCATGCGCTGGGCGGCCAAGCTGGTCTCCACCGTCCGCGCTCGCAGTGGTGGCGGCATTTCCCTGGAGGGGGAGATCGGTGCAGTCGTGGAGGCTCGACGCCGGTAACGAGGGGGCCTGTGAGAAGCTCTAGGAGCATGTGCCCACTTTCGGAGAACAGGATTACCCCGCTGAGCTCGGGCAGCTGAGCGTCGCGTAACAGTGGCAGCCCGTGCCGCGTTGACCCGCGCCTATCCCAGGGCAAGTTCACGGGCAAGTGCGGAGTCTCCTATCCTGGGCCTTGGAGGGTGCGCTATGTTCTTCGAATGCGAAGGCGCCTGCGGCAGCCCGAGTGCCCGGCGGCTTGGCGAGCCGAAGAACAATCGGCAGCAGCTGTGGGTGCGCGCGCGCCGTCGCCAGCAGCAGGCCATCGAGGAGTTGATTGCGCGCCGCATTCGCAGCTGATCGGCAATGCGCGTGCGGGGCACGGGCAAGCCTCTCTGGTGCCAACGGCGGCGGGGCGCTATGCGACCCCGCGGAGTGGGGGCCGCGTTGGCGCGCGGGCGAGAGAGCTGGCCGCCGCGCGGTCCCGGTAGCGACCAGAACGGGCAGTCGCTCGCGGCCAGCGTCAGGCTCGGCTCCAGGGGGGCTGCGCCCAGCCGAAAACTTCCCCGTCTCCTGCTCGTCCCCGGACGCGCGGGTTCTCGCGCGAGGGGGCGCGGCGTCGCCCAGCCCTGGCTCCCGGGGCCGGGCGGATGACGGCCGCCCTTGCAAGGGGTTTCCGTCTGGGCCCGTCGGCGCGCCTCTGGGGTGGCCCCGAACGCCCGTCGACTGGTGGGCGCCCTCCCACTGGCGCCCGCCTGTCCGTGGACCCCCTTCCGTTCCGCCGCGCGCGGGAAGGGTGGGCGTTCGCGGGGTGGGGTAGCCCTCTCGACGGGATAGGTCCTATGGGGGGCGGGTGGTGTTTCGTGACCGTGCAGCTCTTCCGTGTCTTGTCTGATCGTCGCGCGGTCGAGATAGCTGGGCCATCGTGCGATCCGCAGCCGTTTTGCTCATGCCACCTCGACGCCGATGTCGCCTGGTCAGGGCCGAGGCCGCGCGTGGCCTCCGGTGGTTCACCGCGACGGGCCTCGCAGGCCGTCCTCCCCCAACGAGGCTCGCAGACCTCGCGCTGGGCCTCGCGGGCCTTCGCCCTCGGCGCCGCCTGCGCGTCTGCGATCGAGGGGCGGTTCGCCCGCGCGCATCGTGTCCTCGCAGAGGGCGAGAAGACGGGGGCGCGCGCGCCGCCGGGCGAAATTCCAGGCGAGGCTCGGCAGGAGGGCGTCGAGGAGTACCGCGGGTTCGAGCAACTCGGAGCCTACGGGGAGGCGTTGGCGAGGGCGACGAGAAAGATTCTCAGGCTGGCTTTCGAGCGGTAGTGCAGGGCAGCGCCGGCATGCGGCGCTACTTGAGGGCGAGCAAGGGCGGAGGCAAGCCTGTCTGCGGGAGAAATGACATGCTCGACTTCGACGCATCGGCTGGGCAGGGGCAGCGCGTGCAGGGGCGCCTGACAGATGGTCAATCCTCTGAGCGCCCGCAACTGCCGGGCGATGAGCCCGTCCTATCAGAAAACCATAAGCGAGATCCTACCTCGCGGCCAGGCAGACGGAGATCGATCGCAGCTCGCGTCAGCCAACTCAGCCGAGGAAGACGAGGATCCGCAGTGGTGGCGCGGAAGCGGTGAGCGCACAGCGACGGGGCTTCGCGCGACCCTGCGGGGCGGGGGCCTCGTCGGCGCGCCGGCGAGGGGGCTGGCCGCCGCGCGGCCCGGGGCGCGACCGGTCGGGCAGCCGCCCTCTCGTCCCGCCCTCCACCAACCGATGCGCGCTTTGCTCGAGACCGAGAGGGGGGTCGACGTCGCGCTGAGACTGGCGAGCCAGAAGACGCAGGCGAAGGCAGTCGAGATCGAGGGCGCGCCGACCCCCCCCCGGCCGCGCGGAGGAAGGAGGCGCGGCCGAGGCAGCGCTGGGAGGAGCGCCAGTAGAAGGCAACCCTTATAACCAGAGCAGCCGCTCAGCCCGCCGCGGCCAGAGGTCGCGGCGCTCTTCGTCATGGGGCCGCCGACGGCGCCGCCGTCAGAGGGGGCGCAGCAGGCGTGGCGACACGGGCAGTGTCGGCGAGTGCTGCTGCCCACTAGGAGGACATGCTGGTGCCGCGCGGCTCGGGGCGCCCGCGGGCAGGCGCCAGTCGCGCCAGGCCGAGACCTGATGGAGGAAGCGCAGCGGATCCGTGAACACGAGTTGCAGCAGACCAGGGATTTCGAGGGCCAGGTTGGCGAGTGGTCCAGGGGGCACTCCGCGATGCTCGAAGGTCGAGCGTGGACATTGGCCGCGAAGAACTGCGAGGAGCTGCCGCCGTTCTGCGCCGGAGGGGCGCGGACAGGCAGTGGCCCGGCGGATCGGCATTCAGCGGGGCAGGGTCGCCTTGGGCTGGAGCCGAGCCCTTTTGGCGAGGGCGGGCCGGGCTCCGATGGGGGGGGGGCGCCAGCGAAGCCATCGGCGCCAAGAGTCACAGCTCCGCACTGCGCGCAGCCGCACCCGCCCCCCGGCCAGGCGCTCAGCCAGGGGGGCTGCGCGCCCCGCGGCCGCCGACAGCCGCGCGGACTCAGCGGCCCCGCCCGGGGCGCCAGGGCCCCGCGTCCAGGCGGCCCGCGCCGCCCGCAAAGCGACGCCAGCCGCCTCCGAGGCGCGGGAGGGCCCGCGGCCCCGCGAGGTCATCCTGACGGCCGCTTGCGAGGCCGAGAGCGAGAGGCGTCGCCGCGCCCCCCCGCGCGGGAAGTTTCCGACGGAGACGGGGCGAGGGAGGAATGGGCCGTTGGCCGAGAGCCAGCGAGGACGGGGCGCCTCTTCCGTCTCCCGCGCTTCGAAGGGTCGAGGAAGAAGCTCGGGGGCCAGCGCCCCCCCCGAGCATGATGGCCAGTGGCCGCCTCCGTCGGGTTTCCAGGGTGCGGTCTGGAACGCAGCTGCGGCCCCCCGGCGGCCCTGCCCGAGACCGCCAGGGGCCAGGCGCCTGCGTTGCTGCCCCCGCCCGCGCAGTCGCGCGCCGAGGCGTCGGGCGGGCGGGCGCAGGCGCAGCTGGAGGTCGTCGACGTCTTCCAGGGGCAGATACATCGGACAGACGTCGCCGCCCTCGTGCGCCGCCTCAGGCCCCCTCGCGCTTGGGAAAGGTGGGTCTGGTCCGGTCGGGCGACGCCGATCTCCCCATCGCGGCGCGGCATGGTGACTATCTCTGGCGGCTGGCAGCAGGTGAGTGGGGCGTGCCTGGGGTCTCTCCGCCTCGCAGGCGATGGGGGGCGCGCCGCTGAGGCCCGAGCCCGCCGCGGTCGACGCGGCGCGCGCGGGGGCCCCCGGGGCCGGAGGGCCGCGGAACAAGGGCCAGGTGTCCAGCTGCTCGCCAAGGTCGCCCTCCAAGCGCCACTTAAGGTGCGACTGACGAGTGGCGAGCAGCGCGAGGGAAGTCGGCCTCCCCGAGCAATTCAAGGACTTCGGCAGCGTCCGCGCGGGCGACCTGCGCAGACGGCACCCCGCCAGCATGGGGGGCCCATCGGCCTCGATGACAGGCGCGCCGCAACCTGGCCCCCGCAGCTGGGCGGGTGGGCGGCGCGTGGCATTGGCGCGCTGGCCAAGCGGCGCACCGACCAACGTGTGGGGGGGCCGCGCCCAAGGCCGCTCGGCGGGCGCGCGCGCGGTGCAGGGCGGGAAACGTAGGGGCGCCGATGCGCCGAAGAGGGCCCCCCCTATTGAGAGCGGCCCGCTCGGTCGAGCGCCGCGGCGGGAAGGGCGCCGCCGCGGCCTTCGCGGATTGGCCTCCGACGCGGCCAGACCTAATCGAGGCGCCCTCGGAACTGCGGCGCCTTCGACGGCCGCGGCAGCTTGGGGTCTCGCGGCCGCGCGTGCGCCATAGTCGCTGCGCGGCGCGCAGCAATGGGGCGCGCGGCCTCGAGCCCCCTTCCGGCCGATCCGGAGTCGCGGGGCCACGACGCAGCGGCGAGTGCGTCGAGGGCCCAAGGGGCTTCCGCGACGGCGCGGGCCCCTTTTCGCTCGGCCGCTGGGGCCCTGGCCTTCAGAAGCTCCCGGACTTGAGGGCCGGGCTCTTCGATGGGGCTCGCGCGGGCCGCGGGCTGCCAGGCAGCCGCGGAGTGCGCCCCGCGTGAGATGGCGGCGCGGGCGCGCCCGGCCAGGGCCGACCCGAGCGAGCCGCTCGACCTCGTGAAGGAGGATGTCTACGAGGCAACCAGTGGGCCCCCGAAGGCGGGCGCGAGCGCGAGCAGCGGCGGGGCTCCACGCGACCGCCCTGCTGAGGAGAGAGCCTGCAGCAGCGGGGTTTCACGCGACCCGTCGGGGCGGGGGCCGCGCCGTCGCGCTGGGCCACGCGACCCCTTGGGGCGGGGGCCACGTCCGCGCGCTGGCGGGGGCGCTGGTCGCCGCGGCCCCGCGGCGAGAAAGCTCCACCAACGGGCGTGCCTCAGGAGGCGGGCGACCTCAGCAACGTGGAGGTGCAGGGCGCGACGATGGCCTCGCGTTCAACGTGGCGCCCGAGAATCCGACGTGGCACGCGGTGCGCGACGCGACGATGGCACCCCGGGAGGCCCGTGAGACCATCCCCCAGGTGTGGGGGGCGCTGGCTGGGAGAGCGGCCGCCCCTCGAGGCGGCCCGAGATGCCGCGCCCGCCGCGGCGTCTCGAGCCGGATGCGGCTCCGTGGCGCACGTTCGGAATATTTCCCCGTTCGGGGGCCGTCGACCGCTCGCCTTGGGACATGTCCCAAGCGGGGCTCGGCGGCGGGCCTCCGAGCATGAAGGGGTTCCGAGCGGCTGCGTGGTGTGCCTCTGGGGTATTCTTGGCCCCGTCCCTCCGGCGGGCCCCTCCGCGGTGGGGGCGCCCTTCCATGATTGGGGCCCCCCTCCTTCTGCCGCGGGCGGGCGTGGAAGTCCGGGGTTGGGGGGGGGGCCTCAACCGCGGAGGGCCCTATGGAGGATGGGCAGGGCTTAGAGGCCGCGCCTCTCGGCCCCTGCGCGCGTGCGAGCGGCGAGCAGCGGCGACGGCGTCGTGAAGAGGTGAAAGGGGGAGAGTGTCGAGAAGATGCGTGGGCCTCCGACGCTCGCAGCGTCCGGGGGTGCGCTCAATATTTCCCCCCCCGCCTTTGGGTTTCCTCTCCCCGCCGCCCCGTGTCCCGGTGTCTCGCCCCCATCGTGCTGGCAGGCATCGAGTTCCCGGGAGTGGCAGGGGCCCTGAGCCAGGTCCCCCAGAACCGCCATCGGACAGGGGGGTATCACCGTTCCCCCTTTTTTTGTTCCACCATCGCGCTGCCATTAGTGGAGTCGATCTAGGATGCGGTGGTGATGGTGATGGGGGTGGTGGTGGTGGTAGTGGTGATAATGATGACTTTGATGACGTGGTTCGCACTTCACAGGGAACATCTTCCGCCTTGGGTAAGTAGGGCACGACCAGATGATGACAGCGATCAGGGCGCAAACCACAGGGCACCAACCATCGGGAACAATAGAGCACCAGCCATGGGGCACCAACCTCAGGACACCAGCGTGTGTGAGCAAGTGTGAGCCACTCCCTGAAGTGCCAGTGCTTCTTGGGGAGGCGTCGTGTGAGAACACGACTCCTCCTCTTGCTGTTGCTGCTGCGCCTGTCGTTGTTTGGTGCTCAGTTTGTTCTTTCACCTTGTCCATGTGTTCCTTTTTCCCTCACCATTGTGCTGCCGCTCTGGCTCAGCAGGAGTCTTCGACATTGGAGGGCCTGTCGACGTTCGATGCCCCAACAGCGCTGCCCCGCGTGTTCCGTTGCCGCCATGCAGCTCGAACGCGTCTGTCAATTCGACGCGCCTCCACCCCAACGGCTGTGCATCGAGAGGGCGCGCCGAGGTGGCACGATTTCTCGCGAGCGCCCGCGGCCACCCCGAGTCCGCTCGCGTATCGCCCATGCTCGCGCGGACCCTTCTGCAGATGGGCGAAGCCGGCTACTTCGGTGGCAGGCGCAGTCCGTCGGGCACGCAATGGTTCTGTGCGTGGAGAAGCGTGCGCGTGCAGGGCAGCCGCGTGCAGAAACCCGACCTCGTGTAGCTGCAGCGGGGCCGACCCTTGTTGGGGGACTGCACAGTGGTGCTGCGTTCGCTTTTCTGTTTCCGCTTGTCGCCGAAGCGTGAGCGTGGACCCAGGCGCGTGGATAAGCGACGGGCTCCGTTTCCATGGCGGGAAGGAAGAAGGAGGACGGAGGACGGAGGAAGGATAATGGAGGAAGGAACAAGGAGGAAACGGGACGGAGGATCGGATCGGATCGGCCTTCCACGAAAGCGAGGTGCATGACCTCGACAGCCGTGTGTGTGTGTGTGTGTGTGTGTGTGTGTGTGTGTGATAACTTATGAGTATCACAGCCCGGGACGGAGGAAGGAGGAAGGAGGAAAGAGGAAGGAGGAAAGAGGAAGGAGGAACCAGGTAGGAGGAACAAGGAAGGAGGAAGAAGGAGAAAGGAGGAAGGAAAAAAGAGGACGGATTTTTCCTTTGCAGGCCGAGGAGGCGGAACCAGTCAGCAACGTTTAGCTTGAGACACCTTGAGTATTCCCGCGGTCGTGGGCCGTGACCCTGCCATGCCGTCGCCAGCCCTAGCAGGAGACACACTGACCGCTGGGTACTGTCGCACACGGGAGAAAATCGCCACGCGAGCATGTGGGCGCAAACGGCCGCCACGCCGTGCATTAACGCCCAGCGCCGCTTCGCGTCCCCTGCCAGCTGCCACCAGCAACCTACGCCCACAGTTGCGCACTTCCAGCCAACGGTTAGGCACCAGGACATTGCCGCGAGAGCCGCTGGGGAAGCAAGCAGGATTCACTCCGCATTTAGGAGTCGAAAGCATATGCATGGAGGCAAAAACGAGCTCACCGTTGAGCTATGGGCGGTATGCCTCGTACTGCCGTAGCAGGCAACGCGAGAAAACATAAGAGCCAGCAGTGGCTGCAGCCTCACGTGCATGCGCGCGGAGAGCGCACGCCAGGGGCAAAACATCAGACTCTATCTGGTCCGAACAGCAACGTTTAGCTTGAGACAGAAGAGCCAGCAGAGGCGGCAACAGTTTAGCCACAGATGAGGCACACCAAATGCCTTAGCCCGCGCTGGCATCTTTCGATGCCGCTTCATGGGCCTGCACTCTCGCAAGCAAAGCCGCCGTCCTCGCGTTCTGAGGGAGGGCGGAGAGGCCTGAGTGCTGCTGCGACGACGCGGGCCTGGACACATCAGCAGGCGGAGGCGTCTGCGCAGCATATCATCACAAATTCACACCCCGCCTAGACGAGCGGGACGTCCTCTCATCCTCGTTCCTATAATGAGGATGGAGGCCTGACAGTGCAACGA